GTCACTTTCCCCTTCTATCATTTTAGCCAATCTAGTAGGTATAAAATGATATCTCAAGGTTGTTTTAATCTACGTTTCTCTAGTCAATAATGGTTTATAGCATGTTTTCATATGACTAAATTGTTTTGATTTCTTTGTTGCAAAACTGCCTGTTCATATCCTTTGACCATTTTTACATTGGGGAATGACTCATATTCTCATAGATTATGAAAAAAAGTTCAGCTGCCATACTCAACTGTAATGCCCATCTTTCCAGTGTTTCTGCAACTATTTTCACTTTAAAGACTCTTCTTTGTTGTATTTGTGTGAAATTAGGAAGTGAATAAGATGCACTCTTATTCCAGTTTCTGTCCTGCTGTGTTCATGGCATTCAGGATGGCCTTTAAATCACCATTTGACATATATGAACCCCAGAACCTACAACCTGATGTTCCTAAATATCTCAACAAAATTGCAGTTGCTTGGTTCCACTTGTAATTGCCCCTATGAGGTTAAGACAGGGGAGGAAGAATATTCTTGGGAAGTGAGTACACTTGCTTCTGTCTTTCACCCTCAGTCTTATGGTGCCCTATGGTCCTGATACTCCTTAGAACACCACATCTTTTTCAACTGTCTCCCATCGAAACTACTTCACTTATTTCTTCTAACTCACAGGGCCAGAAGGAAGGCTGGATATTTTTCTTTCTTTCCCCTTTCATTTTCAGATCTTTCTTATGTACGGTCCTTAATGATCTTTCAACTTTTAAGATCCTTCAATTCATGTACATTACCTTATTTATTGAGCTCCAGGTTATTCTCTTAACTTTCTGAGTCTTTAGATATCCTCTTAATATAATGTCAGCTCTCTGATGTTCTGGGCAGTTTTGTTTGTGTCTTCATAACAGGCCCATAATAAATATTTGTTGAATTGAATAATAAAAATTGGTTTCTGGTTTTCATCACCTTATATCCTGCTGTCATCATTCAATATGTCATAATTTGTATTGATGAAACTACTAACACAGTCTCTCAAAATTGTACTACTCCCCAGGTCTAGAACTCTGAATTCCATTTTCCAAACATAGCCTCCTGTCCTTTTACCTTTTACACTTTCTCATTCACATGCAGCCTACTCTAGCATCTTTTCTACTCCTAATCTCCCAGTCCATTGCACTCTTTCTGGCTTTACCTGCCTCCAAATCCAACCTTGAGTATATGGTCAGCCATTTTATGTTTCACTAACTGCTACCCTGGGGTCCCTTGGCTATTGACCTTCTATTCCTGATATGTGAATCCTCACTCCTGAATAACCCCTATTATCCAGTTTCAGGATTATTTCAGGGCTGCTGAGCATCCTTGGAGCATATCATGAAACTAAGCATGCCTCATCCACCATAAATTTGTTAAATAACCTCAGCTGGTCCTTGATTTTAGTTCTTTATTGACAGCCTATCTCATTTCCCACAGGCAGTCCCAAAATTTTTCTCCTCTCTACTCCATGCTCAGTTCATTCCTACTCTCCACACTCAACAGTAGAACACTTAACTTCATATTTTAATGAGAAGGTTGAAATGATACATGGTAAACTCCTTAGTTTACTCCCTCCCCTATTCCTTGAAACTGCTTAACCTCATTACTGTTTGTCTTCTCTTTGGTTTAAAAAAAAAAAAGAGGTATCTTTAATTCCTCAATAAGATTATTCCCTCTAATTCAATTCAGTAGACATTTATTTAGGGCCTACTATGTGCCAGGCACTGTGCTAAGTGCTGGAGATAGGAAAAGAGGCAAAAGACAACCTGTGCCCTCAGGGAGTTTATAATCTAATGGGAGAGACAACACGAAAACAAATACACAGCAATCTATAGACAGGAAAAATATGAAGTAATTAAAAGAGGGAAAGTACTAGAATTAAGAGGGATTAGGGAAGGCTTCCTGTAGAAAATGGGATTGTAGGTAGGCCTTAAAGGAAGCCAGGGAAGACAGTAATCAGAGGGAGGAGACAGTGTTCCAGGCAAGGGAGGAATAATACCTTCTTATAATACCCTTTTTTCTCTTAATGCCTCCAGAAAGATTTGCTCTAGAACCCATCCTCTCACTTGTATTTTCAATCCTTTTTCCTGCCCCCCCCAATGGCTCTTTCTTACTTGTTGACCAGCAAGCTTAGGTCTCCCCAGTCCTAAAAACAAAGCCTTGACCTTCCTACTCTATTCATCTTTCATTTCTCTTTCTCTTTACTTTAAAACTTAATCATTTCAACAAACATATATCACATGCCTCTTATTTACCATCATGGTGCTAAGTACTAGGGAATGCAAAAGTGAGCTTATATTTTTTTTGGAGAATTGACCTGTACACAGATAAGTACAATTCAGCCAAGGAGACACTGAAGGTACTTTAGGAAAATTTGAAAAGAGAACACGTATGGCTTGGGAGATTAGGGAAAACTTCATAGAGGAGCCTGAACAAACCTTCAAGAGAATTTCTAAAGGCCGGAATGAGAAAGGAGCATATTCAGCCCTGGCATTTGCAGGAATGTGTGGATATAGGAGGTGAGAGGATGCCTGATCATCAAGAAACAGTAGTTTGGTTTAGCAAAAATGGAAAGGATGTAAAAGAAAATAATGTAGAGTAATACTAGAATAGTAAGTAGGAGTTAGATTATGTGGAAGCCCTTAATTGCTGGACTAAGGAATTGTTTGTTTCTTTCTATGAGCTTTGGGGGCTCACTTAAGTTTTTTGAGCAGGAGTGACCTTTTAGGACTTGAAAAAGTTATCTGTATCTAATGTCTCCTCTTTATAATTTCCCACGGTGTCCATTACATTTTTTCAGTTTGCATTTTGTTCTTGCCACTCTACTAAAATTATTCATTCAAAAGTTACAAATGGCCTCCCAATCATCAAATTCAATGACCTTTTTTCATTCCTTAACCTTATATCAATCACTCCCTCCTGCATGATTTCCTATTCCTTTGGCTTCAGAGATACCACACTATCTTGATTTTCTTCCACTTTAACTCCTCCTGGTTTCTTATTCCCTTCCCGGCCCCCTACTGTAGGATGTTCTTTAAGTGTCTTACCATACCCTCTTCTTTTTCTCTCATTTAGCAGTTTTATATGTTACACTCTTTCATTTAGTAATTTCATTTACTTTCATAACTTCACTACCACCTCTATTCAGTTGAATACCCAAGTCTTTATTTCTAACCTTTACCCCTCTCTGATGAATCTAGCCCTGGATTTTCAGCTGCCTTCAGCATATCTCCACCTGGATGTCTAATGGGTATCACAAACTCATCAAACTCTATCATTGCTCTGATTATCTGTGTCTTACTTTGAATCCCTTCTGATCTTCTCATTGTATTTTTAAATGTTTCATTGATACTTTTTTCTTTCCTCTCTCCTCTTATACATCATTATCACTACTACCACATTCAATCTCCCTATCTCTACCCTTCCACAAACTCTGTCTCTCCTATCACCTCACACCCAAATAAAAGCCTTCCTTTATAACAAAAGTATCATTAAACAAAACAAATTTGTCTTGTAATAGTCATGTCTGGAAAAATAAATGTTTCATCACCTCTTTGATAAGATGTGGGAGGTGTACTTTATCATAAGTGTTCTGGAGTGATAATTGATAATTGCATAGTTCTTAAATCTCTCAAAGTTGTGTTCCTTTAAAATGTTGTGGTCGTATAATTTGTTGTCCTGGTTTTGCTCATTTTACTTTGCATCAGTTCATACAAATCTCCCCATGTTTCTCTGCATCCTTTTCATCTCACCTTACAACAGGAGTCAACAAACTACATCCCATAGCCTAATTTCAGTACTATTGTGTCTAAGGGAATAGAGAGGCCTGAGGAGAGGGAGAAAGACTGGGGAATGGCAGGTCTGTGGAGCAGGATACAACATAACCATTAAATTTTCTGTCTTATATGGGCACGGTTTATGGTACCCCAAAACAGTTAGAGTAGTAACAGTAAAGATCACTGATCACAGATCACCACAATAGATATAATAATGAAAAAGTTTGAGATATTGTGAGAATTACCAAAATGTGATATTCATGGTGTGAGCATGTACTGTTGGAAAAATAGCACCAATAGACTTACTCAACACAGGATTGCCACAAACTTTCACTTTGTTAAAAATATGATATCAGGGAAGTGCACTAAAGTGAAGCATAATAAAACGAGGTTTGCCTTTATATAATAGATCAAATTCTAGAGCACTTTGTGGAAGGGGCCAGTAGAGTAGTGTATAGAGTCAGAGATGTATGAATGAGAATATGGGATAGGGAATATATATATAGTGCTTTGTAACTAACTAGAATTCTATATAAAGTGAGCTAATCTTATTTCTATGAAATTCAGGATTATAGAGATTTGGAAAGTAGCTGAAGGAGATGTAGAGATAAGGAGATCTGTTTAGGGAGGCACAGTTTAATGGATGAGCTAATATAATAAAATTCTCTTTGTTAATTGCTTTTTATTCTTAAAGTGTTTTATAATTTTTCTTTCATTTTTGTATAAATTTTTTTCTTTTCCTATTTTAATTTTTTTGTTGTTTAAAATTTTTTTTTGTAATTAATTAATTTATTTTTAGTTTTCAAAATTCACTTCCATAAGATTTTGAGTTTTAAATTTTCTCCCCCTCTCTCTCCTCCCCCCTCCCCAAGACGGTGTGCAATCTGATATAGGCTTTACTTATACATTCATATTAAGCATATTTTCACATTAGTCATGATGTAAAGAAGAATTAGAACTAATGGGAGGAACCATGAGGAAGATCCTCTTCCTATTTTTAAACAGTAAAGATAGGAGTTTGGTAAATTATTCACTCCTTTTTTTTTTTTTTTTACATGCCAAAGATAAGTTGACTAGAGCCATAAAGTAATTTTTAAATGTTTTGCTATTGAAGGAAAATTCTAAATGATGCAGTCCTTTTTATTTTAAAAGTAGAGGAAACATTTTTTATTCAACTAATTTCTTTTTTCTTGTTTTTTTTTCTTTCTTATTTAGTGTCTTTTTCCTTGGAGCCATCCTTGTAATAGCAGCTACTTTCCTATATGGCTATGATCCCAAACCTGCAGGAAATCCTACTAAGGCCTAGTTATCTTCTGAAACTTGTTTCTCAGGATTCTTCAAGTATTAAGATCCTCAAACATCATTCACACACAGAGGATGTCAACATAAACTCTGTGAGAGATCATCAGATTGAGTCCTGTCATGATTATTGAAATGATTTGAAGTCACAAAGGTTTAGAAACCATAAGAAGTTTGTTACAGGTGGAAGTGAAATATCTAATGCATCCAAAAGTAAAAACTTGAAAGAAACAATATGTTTCCAGTGACTAAAATCAGGAATGTTTACAACAACTTGAACTCTGAAGTGAACAAAAAAGGTTTTTACAATTTTGATTGCTGCAGAAATGTCCTATGCACTCTTTGCAAGAGCACATGACAACATTTGTCAGATATAAATTTTTGCAAATCAAATCTATTTAATCTTAGTAAATGTTTTTAATTTGCTATTTGTGTATAGATAGATTACACTGAATATAATTCATTATTCTGTAATTAAGATTATAATTAGCTATTTCTTATTAAAGCTGTGAAGAAATTGAAGTATGGTTTGAAAAAATTTTTCACATACCCAAGATTTTTATATTTATAAAGGGATTGCTAAACAAATCTGAATTCTGTTATTTGTTAATCTCTATAAAATTGATAATATTATGGGTCTGATTTAATATCAGAAGGGGAAGATTTTTATGTAAGGTTCTCTGTTTCATTGTTTATGTAACCAAATACAAGCTACAGGTGGAGTTTGGGTCTGGGTTTCTTTTTATTTTTTCTTATAAATTGTATACCTACTATTACTTTAAATTTTATTTGTGTGTGATTCAGTTTCCTTCAATGTTATTAAATGTAACTTAAGATGAAGTAAATACTTAAAATATTTAATGGTTTATAAAAATATATAATTGTCTATATCCATTCTATTTGGATTCATTATAGAATATCATGTATATATTCTACCTTATTACAGAGTTTTAAATGGATATTTTACTCAATCTATAAGAGCTTCTTTAAGGCTGTAACAGTAAAGATAGTTTTTAGTTTAAATATCAATAAGTTGGCATCAAAATGACATCTAGAACCATTTTAGATGGCCATTATATTGTTTGAAATGGTATGATAATTTTAAATTCAGGGTTCCCAAACAAAATTTTGTAAGCCCATCACCTATGGAAGTGCCCTTTCTATGGTTGAAGGGTATATTACTTGTATAGGGCTCCTAGCACTGCATGGGGCTGCTTGGGCAGAAGTTATTATTTGTTTCTTACGTACATGAATGTGTGTGTATATATACACACGTATATGTATACATATACACAAACATATATAAAATTGGTTTTTGTATATAAAAGAGTATATATATGTGTATATGTTATGTATATATCTGTATATAACCACACAAATGCACCTGCTTTAAAATAACACCATTTCTATGATATGTTCTTATGAACATTGAAGTAGAATATTTTATGTATAAGCCATTTAATTTTTAATATGGTTGAGATAATGTCATACATAATTAGTTAAAAACTTTCTAAAATTATCATGTTAGGTTAATTCAATTGTGAACAACAATAGTATCAACATTCTAGCTTGTTCTCTATATAATGTACTTTAAAACAACACATGCAATTCTAGTGTTTATTTTTAAAATTTACATAAATAGCTCAAAAATTCAATTCAATAGATGCCTATTTGGGTAGAGTTAAAAAAAAAAGATTCCAAAGTTTTGTGCTTAAAATTATGGTATTCTTTAAGGCTACCACTGAGTTAGCCTACTGTGAGATTTCTTTGAAAACACAGTGCCCTCCTGTATCCATAAATCAGGAGTCCACTCCTACCTCTTCTGTCTAAGGTTTCAATTCCTTGCAAATGTGTTCAATTACAAAACATTTGGAATCTTTCTAATAGGTATTGCAAACTGGCCCTTGTTGGCCAGAATTCTGGGTACATATAGCTTTCACTAGCTTCCTTTGAGAGTTGTTAAACTGTTAACAGTTTGGGGTATGTTCTCAGTGTGCTACAAAATTCTGGCCTAATTGAAATCCAAATCCTGGGGTTACAAAGGAGCACAAAATTCCAGGACCAAGTTAACTTCCCAAATATTGGCTAGGTATCTAAATAATAATAAGTAGTTCAGCGTATTTTCTTAGCCACTTGACACTGTGTGACCTGTCTCTTATTTTAGTGCTTTGAAGAGTAATACAAAAAAGTACTGGTATGTGGTTAATGTAATGGCATGCTCCCAGTGACTGAAAACTTAAAATTATTCAAGTATTCAAGCAAGTATATCAGAACAGGCTAGTTTCACGAAATAAGCAAATAAGGAGATTCGGAGGAGTGTAGTGTAGCAGAAAGAGTGAGGAAACCTGATTTCTAGTCCACCTATGCCACTAATTCACTTTATGACCTTGGGCAAATCACTTCTCTAGGCATTGGCTTTGTTATCTGTCAAATGAGAGGGTTGGACTAGGAGGTTCTTTCCAGCTCTAATATTCTGTGATGAGTGACATGTTTTTTTTCAAACTAACTGTTTTATGGACAGAGAATTTATATTTTACATTACTAGTAATTAAGAAAATGTTTATTCTTGGATATTGTAGTTTATAATTTATACTTTGTGTTCACAGGGAAATATAATAGAATGCAAAATTTGAAAAGGACCACCGGAATTGTAGATTGGCTTTTACCAACAGCTAATGATGACATTATCATGACATTGTTTTTTGGATCAGTTGACAGTTTCACCTCCAAAGTCTTGTCTATTAACCATATAATTAAAAAATTAATAATTCCATTTCTAACATACAGTTTTGACACCAAAATAATTCCAGCTTTTTAAGAAATTTAAACTTTTTTTTCACCTCTCAACTACTTTATTCACTGAAAATTAGCCATTTTGTAGGGAAATGTGCCAGTAGCTAGCATTATAATAAATTAAGGCTATAGTGTCCAGTTTAAAACTGGATGAAAAGTTTTAAATATAAAGAATGATTTTACCAACAGAACAGTAATAAATTAAAATTATTTTAGGAGTACCATAGGTATGAATTCTTGAACTTTTTTTATGTTAAAAATCTGTATCAGCAAGAAGAATGAGCAATGGTTTGCATTTCTAGTTATTCTTAGTGGGGGAAAACTCAAAAGTCATCTTATTATCTGGACAAAAACATGGGGAAAAAGAATCTGTAAATCAAAAGGCTGCCCCTGTAGTTTTCAGAAATTGTGCTTTAGTAAGTTTAGGATATGATTCTTATTACATTACCTATAAGACCTGATAAACCTTTCAGACAAAGTAGTTTTCTAGACCTTAAAAATGTTACTGTATTTGCTTCCAATGTAGGTATTGTTTTTGAGAAACAGGGTTTATTTTTGTCTTCATATCATCTTTTAATTTAAATTTTCATTGTCATGACAGTATTTATTTACATCATGAATGTGTGCTTTTCAAAAGAAAAGCCTTCTGGAAGTTATTTATATGTTTGTAAGTCAGTCACCTTAAAAACCTCCAAAATGTAGCATATTTAATAATAAATCTAGGACCAAAAGAAGCACCTTTTACAAATTATGGTCCTGTGTGCCTTGCTTACCAAATACCTGACTTCTTCTGGAGGTTATTACTGTAATTCACAATTATGGATACATGATAATAATATCAGGAATTTTTAAAATAGTTATTTCTCAATTGATTTTTAAAAAATTCTTTATCTACAAGTATTCATCAAATATATTTTATGATACAGGAAATTAAGTGTGCTGTGCAGGTAATTGATAACCAATATATGTTTGAGTAAAGTGTAACACTATTACTCATCATTTAGCATTTTGAAACTTTAAAAATAGAGTACAAGCCAGATTACTGTTATAGTTCGTTGTTTTTAAATAATATTTTACTGCATTTTTTTTGTTCTTTACTATTTGGATCTTTTGTTGTGTCTCCATGTTTTATTTGCTTAGATCCCTTTTGGTTTGGGGAACAATATGTAATTTTGTATATTTAAACTTTTGTGAACAAAATTCAAAAATTGTACAATTGGTCTTTTTTATGTCATGTTTTTGATGGATAAATATTTCAGATTTTTTCAATATCTAGTTACCACCTATTGCTTAATGAGTTTTATTGGAATGTAGGCAGAGTTTTATTACTGGAATTAATTGTGACCCTGTTCGCCAATAATTATGAATCTGAATGTGAATTAAATTTCTCCTCTTTTAATACCAACGATAAATTACTGGTCATCCCTGTTACTCTAGTCATTATCACCACTAGCTCACATGTGAATCTATATGTTGCCTCATCTGGTTTGGCTCCCATTTTAAGTTGTTGTGAATTTCTCTACTTACTCGTAAAATGACAGAAAACTTAAGTTTTCTACAAGATACATATCAGTCAGCTAGAAGGAAAATTAATCACATTAAGTAATTGAAATCATGTGCTTTATTTTCTTTACTATTTGCTTATAATTTATTTCATGTATTATCACCAGTGCAATTCAAGAATCATTTAATAAGTTCCTAAATGTTGAAGATTAATTCACGTGATTCATGTTACCATTTATAAAATTGATGTAATCTGAGATAAATCACTTAAATTGTAAAAATATTTCCAAAAATTAGCTTTATTTTTTAATATAAATTTCATTTGGTTCCCCTAATGAAAAAAACTAATTATAAAATATTATTAGGATTATTTTTCCCTTGCTTTTGAATAGCATTTGTCAAGTTTGCAGTATACCATTATTGTAGTATCTTTAGTGCCTATTTGTAAATGTAAATATAATAGGTAAATTAACTTAAAGTCACTACTGTCCTTCAGCAAAACACTAATTGGCAAATTGTATCTGCATTATCATACCAGTGTGTAATATAGCCCTTGAAAATGAACTGAAATCGAATTCCAGCACTGGTATGGCACTCCAGAGAAGAAAATATCACTCTGAAAATATGCCTTAAATTTCCCCAAATTCAAGTTCTCAACATTTTTTTCTCATAGTGTCCATAGCTTTTGAATTCTTTACCCTTAATAGGACAGTACAGATCAAATCTATTACCATTTAGTAGTGGTTTTAAAACTTTACAGTGAGAGAAGCTTCAAAAATTTTGTTAAGTAATACTGAACCCAGAATCTAAGAACTTTAAAAATATGTTTTGATAATTTGAAAAAGTTTTGATCATTGCTGACAACAGAACATATAAAGTAATGCTATTTAGCTTTCTGGCAGTAAGTACTACTTACGCTTTTAAAAATGATGTAGTCATTTAAATAATTATTATGCTAAATTTAGTGAAAAGCTTGATCTGTCCTCGAACAGTTTTACACACACACACACACACACACACACACACACACACACA